CTAGTTCCGGTCCTTTAACGATTGCCGTCACTTTGCCTGAAATGCCATGCACTGGCCCTCATTCTGGCCCAGATTTCACTTTATTAACGGAACCGATACAGCAATGAAAAGCCCGCCGTAATGGCACTTTAGGTGAGCCGACATTGTCCCTTCACTAGCCCTAAAGTCGTGTGCTTGTTGGGTAATAAAATAAAGTAATTATTAATTTTAGAAATAGAAGGAGCCACTCAGTATTGAATATATTTAAAATTGTGCATAAATTGTTTTTATGGTGGCTAATATAATCAACAAAAAAGTTCTTTGTCAGAAATTATTTATTTTATTACTCATGTAAACTCTTTGAAAATAATTTTGCATTTTGTTAATGTATTCATGAAGAACTTACAACAATAGCAAGAAAAATTTTTTAATAGTGCTCATCCTACATCCCATTTATGATATTTTTTTAAAGTGTTAAAAAGGTGCTTATTTTGCATTGAAAAATTTGGCTATGTACCCTGAAAGAGAAAAGGTATATGCAGTTTTACAAATTCATATCATACTACTAAATTAATTAAAATTAAATTTGTGTAAATTACATTGAAAAATTTAATTTTAGCAAAGATTTATTGTTATATCTTGTGCAATTTCAATTGCATTCATTTATATGACATTAGTATGAAATTTAATATAGGTGGCAACTTTATAATTTTGTAAAAAAAAATTATTTTGAACTAGAAATATGTCTGAAAAATCCTTTAAAACAGTGTAAATTAACCAAGCTTGTTAACTAAACCTGTGAGTTGACTTGTAAAAATAATTCAAGAAATATTGCACACATGTATTTTATAAAGCATTTTAGAATTAAAAAGAATAAATAATTCAATAAGACTCTTTTACTTTTTTTTCAATAATAAGTTTTTCTCATTTTATAAAAATTGTTATCATAACCATATTACAATAATCTGTACTACTTTATGATTTTAGACTATTCAACTTTATTTGTTAATTTTAATTTTGATTTATTAATTACTTCAAAAATTTGGTTCAATTTAGTAGCATATTGTTAAGAAGTTTTAGTCTTTATTTGTTCTCTTCAGTAGTAGTTTTGTCTTTCTGAAACAATAATTAAGGAAAAAATATGAAAATAAGGCATGGCTTCTCATTAAACTGTCATGTCCTACTTGTAGTTTTCTACAATTTTTTATTTCTGTTTGTTTTTTTTATGTCAATTTTTCAATTTAAGTGGAACCTATACTTTTAACTTTAACTTATAACTTTTAACTTATTACTTGGAACTTTTAATATGATTGCTTTATGAATTAAGTCATATTAAATGAAAGTAAAGTCAAAAAAAAAATTTTTTTCTAGGTGTTAAGTTAGGAAAGTTAAAGTCTTCTCCTCAAGATACTTCAAAACTGGAAGCTTTATCAGATTTACAGAAGAAAATCAAAATAACTGCTGAAACATGTGGGGGAAAAATATATGAAGATGAATACAGCTCCAAGTCCCATATCCAGATGCCTGTTCACCAGAAGGGTCATTTTTTTTGTCCACTTTTTACCAATTAAAATAAATAAAAGTCTTTTCATTTTCAATCAATTTCCCTTTTTAATTCCCCCCTTTTTTTTTAGCATTTGTGACCTGTTAAAAAATAGTCTGCTGGGAAGATAATCCTCCGCTTCTTTATGATTTTTATAACACTTCCATTTTCTCTTCACTTTTAATTTGATTTCCACTATAATCTTTAAAAAAAAATATTGGATATCACGTAAACGAACTTCGGCATTTCACTACAGCATTAAAAAAATTCTGTATTTTTTCTCACTTCTCCCATAAAAAGATTATTGCCACCATGAATCACGCACTCAATTTCAAAGTGTACAAAAACTTTGCGGTTTGAAAAAGTTGCAGATTCAAAATGAAATAGTCACGACTAAAGCAGGATATTAAATTATTCTAAAGCGTGATTTCTAATTTTCAGATCGTAATAGTATTATATAAAAAATTAAATCCAAAATTTAAAAAACTATGTGATAATTCAAATCTGTTGAAAATGCGAATGACAAAATCAATTAAACAATAAAACCATTACAAGTCCAGTGCATCAAAAAATAATTCTACAAATGTACAATTCAAAATTTCCAGTATATGTTAATGTATCATTAAAAAACTATAAAAATCTGTAGATAATATTAACTAAATAACTGATAAAAATGTGATCGTAAATCCATGTGGAATATACAAAAGCATAATGTTTATACTGTAAACAAAAATCGTTCTAAATAATTTTATTTATATTCTTAAACATTAAGGGAGTTTATGACAAATTTTTTAGCATCTACTGCAAGAGGTGCTCAAAACTTTTCAAAATGCTTGGCACTTTACATCAAGGCTGCATGGGACATCTTCTTAAGCATACAGATGTCCCTTTTGAGAGTTCTGATACCCCCACTCAATAGCATTTAGAATTGATTCTCCTCTATAATATTTTTTAATCTTTTTGTATACTTGCTTTGCCATTTTACTTTGGCAACATTATTTTGAAGGGCCCAGTATTTATTTCCTTACTGGTTAATAAATTTTGCCAATTTTCTTTATGATGAATTATTTATAAATTCAATAAAAATTTTGAGATTGAAAAAGTGCTTTTAATTTTAAATATTCTAGATTTTTTAATTAATTAAATTTGTGATATTTGTTTGTAATTCTAATATTTTTTTAAATAGAATTCTACTTTTTAACTTAGTTCATCTATGAAAATTTCCTATTGTTTTGCTGAATATACATACTGATAAAAACATGTCCTGTTATAAAGCCATAAACATAAAATATTATAAATTGAAATATGGTTTGCATTTGTTATTTTTCATATTTTGGTTTTAAATGGAATCCTTAATTTTGTTGTCATTAATTGTTATTTAGGATCCATAATTTATGACAAAATTTAGTACTTGTTGTATGAATTCAGCTCAGCAAGTTTGAGAATTTGTTATATAAATATTTTTTTTTGATTATTATAATCAATAATATATAATTAAATGAATTTTTTAGTAATTAGTATAATTAATATTTTATCTAAAATCATTGTTGGTTTAATAAGTGAAAATATATTTTTACTTATGGAAGCAGTTTTAGAGATGCAAGGACATGAGGAAATTGTAAAGAACATTAAGGATAATATTACTTATATGTCAAAAGTTATTTGGGATGTAGTGTTTTTTAACTTGTGTAGTATACATACAGTTTATTATTCTAGGTTATTTGATTTTTAATTAAAAGACTTTAATGCATCATTATTTGTATTCCACATCAACAATCAAACACATATAAATACTTATAATTTTAGCTGTTTCTAAGCTTACTATGAGTTTTAAAATTCGTGATTTATTTTTGGTGTTTTTAAACAATGTCTATTTTATTCCAAATTAAGTTTACATTGAGATACTTCTGTAAAATCAATTATCAAACACTTTCATAAATATTCTTTTAATTTCGTCTGAGTTTCTACAAAATCTCCATTTTGCTTAACCAGGTTATTGGATCTGTGTTATCGAGTTTGTTACAATACTCTCATCTGATCTTCTTAGTGTTGGTTTGAAAAATCTGATAGGAATCTGAAGCTGATATAGAAAGAAAAATTTTTCATCCCTATGTTTATAGTCTAAAATCAATATTAATTTAAAATTATTAAACCACTCAGCTTACCAATTTCATGTTATGGAACAGGTCAAACTAATGTGTAAAAAAAAAGTGTAGTTAGTTAAATCAAAGGGAGCATAGGCATGCCAGTTTGGTTGCATTAACAGATGTAATCTTTAGCATTATCCCTATGTTGTCTTATAAGTTGTTGTCTATTAAGAGAATGTATAACTAGTACAGGGATGATTGTGCTCCTGAAAATATCCGGATATTTCGCTGACCGTGATCCAGAAGTTTCATTAAATCATCGATCACATTTATGTATAAAAATTCTTGTATATTTTATTTAAAAATATTCGAACTAGAATTTATACTTGGCATCTCTTCCATTTGTAAATATTTTTTCTGGTAGAATAATAAAAGGTATTAGAGATAAAAGTAAACTTATACATAATTATTCATTTAAATTATGCTGGATATAATTTATTTAGGATTTTATGTTGTAAAAACATCGATGATTTAAATTTATAAAGACATTAGTTTTTTGAAATGCGTCATAAATGATTTTACTCAAGAAATTTTCAGGATTTTTGAGTTGGACTCACAATCACCCCTGCCAGTAGCACAGAATCTAGTATTAAATAAAGGAATTGTTTTTCTGCTTTCAACAAATATTTCTTTTCTTTCAATTCATTAGACAATGCAAATTCCAACGATTCTATGAAAAATGCAAACAATTTTATTGAAAAAACACCTAAGCAGAGTTTGAAACTTGTAAAGAAAAGTAAGTAATTGTTGATTTTAGATTGAAAAGATAATGCAATTTGGTTTTTAATTGTTTATTTTTGTATCTTTTAGATATTCAAAATTTGTATATATGTGTGTCTATAGTTTCAAATTTAATTCATATCTAATTGATTTTTTCAGTGAATAAATAACAATTTTTTTAAAAAAAAAAGTTTAGAAAAAGTAACTTAAAATCATTTTCTTAAAATTTCAGTAACTTGAGTTTTCTAGTTATTAGAGTTCCAGATAATTGATCTTTTGCTGTTCTTGTCGATTTGTTTCAGAATTTTTAGGAATTAGTATAATATTACAAAGAAGAGAAAAACTTGATTAATTAAATTTTCCCATGATTTATTTTTTAAAAACGTGAAATGATATTTATTTACTATATTTCTTTTATTAATACATTGCAATACAATAAAGGCATGAAACAAAGAAAGCAAATTAAGTAAACTAGACCCTTTTGGATCTCGAGTTTCATGTCAGTAGCTTCAAAATTGAGTTTATATATTATGATAAATAGTACACACAGATGAAGGTATATACAAAAAAAAATGCAATTATAAAATTTAAAGTATATGGTTGGAAAGCAGAAATATTCAGTTTTAAGTCATATAATGTAATCTAATATTATAATTATATGTATTAAGTTATTGTAATTATATTATAATACAGTACAGAACCCGTTATCCGGAAATCAGAAAACCGGAACGAAATTCGATAAATTTTCGCACCATTTTTAAAAATAAAAATTTCCTCATAAGATTTTGGGATTTTTTTTCTTTTTTGAAAGATGTTTACCTTGCTATCATTTTGGAAATAATCATTAGTGTATTCCTTCATCGTTTTTTCTTCTTTTTAAGATTATCTCCAAAAAAACATTTTTTTTGTTGGCTTTAACAATAAACAAATGGCTTTTTGTAGCGATTCAGAAAACCGGAAAAATCAGCTATCCGGAATAGCGATGGTCCCGATCGTTCCGGATAATCGGTTCCCTACTGTATATATATTAAGATAATATATATATATATGTATTAAGATATTATAAATATACATTATGATATTATAATTATATTACTAATATTGAGTCATAAAAAATTTTTGTACATAAAATCTCAGCAGTGTAAAAAAAGATACAGGGTGTATGAAATTTCTATGCAACAAAATCTTTATTAAATTTAATAAACGTAAATTTTGCTGTTTAAGCTATTTGCGTTTTGAATTTTAGCAGGATGTAAATCAAAGCTTTTTGGCGATGAATACTGTAAACTTTTACAAAAAATAATCTTGCTAGGCATGGCTATGAAATAAATTTTGTTAGGACTTCTCATTCTAGCCGTGACTTTTTTTCTTTCTTTTTTTGTTACAAGCGTTTGGTTTTTTTTGAAAAAACGAGTGAAATAATGAAGGTTTTGCATTTGTGTTTTTGAAAAGTGAATGAAATAATATAAGATAAAATCAAATTTTATGCGATGAAAATTAGTTATTTCAAAAATTTAAATCGATCTTTTTTGTACAGTTTGTTAAAAGTGATTTTAACCCAACTAACAGTTTTGTTAATGGGATTAAAATCAATATTCTTATATTATTTTAATCAATTTAAAGAATGAGAGGTATTTTAATTTTTTTGTTTGTTTAATGTTTGTTTTGTTTATGCAAAATATTTAAACCTGATATTGGCTTTTAGTTAAAAATTATTTTAGTCATGAAATCATTTTAGAAATTATCATCATAAAGTTAGTTTAGAACTCTTGAATTAAATGTGATTCAAGAGTTCATGACCACGCTTGATGTAACAACATTTTGTAAAAACTTATAGTAAATCCCTTCAACTACGGACTATACTTATTCTATTAAAAAAATTTAATTTATTAGATATTTTACTTATTATAATGATTCTTTTGAATAGTAATTTTTATTTAAATTTAATTTCTGTTTAATTGTAATTTATAATTTGAAAATAATAAATGGATCTAAAGTTTTAATTTCTTTTACTTTTTTCTCCTTGAGTTTTTCTAACAACGCTTAGAAAAAGTATAACTGCTTTAAGATTAACATCTTTATACATACTTATGTTTTGATAATTTACGAATTTAAAATTGCACTTTACACTAATTTTTTTGAAATTTTTAATAAGATGATGTCCTACTCAAAGAGTCTAGCAAAGCAGCCAAAAATTCGCTTGAAAGAACGCCAAAGAAAAGCTTGAAGTATATAAAGAAAAGTAAGTGTTTATTAATTTATTAAAGTAAATTATGCTATAAATTTATTCTGCTGATATTGCTACTTTTACTATTGAGTAAAATCTCAAAATAATATTTTTTTCTGTGAATGTAACAGCTAATTTTATGTATAAGAAATATTTTTAAAAAATCAGATCGCCATATTTCTTGAATAGGTTGTATACATGGGAATGTTAGTTTTAAAAAGTAACAAGTAAAAAATACAAGTACAGTGTGCAAAAAAAGATATCACCCTGAATAACTTTCGTTCTAATATTGGGACTTGCCATGTACTAAGTGTCAATCTTAATGGTTTTTTAGGTGGTAACTTCAAATATGCTAATTAATTCGTGTTAATTATTAAAGTTACGACATCAGACGCAAAAACTAACTTTCTCTGAATAAACATATATACATATATTTGCATATTTGGATTCCTGACCTTCAAAATAGGGGATGTAGACTAACTTCAAAAAAATTGGGGTGCTAGACCAATTCTATGAGTTCTGCGGTTTTCTTTAGATAAAGATAATTTGCAAATAGCATTTTGATATTTTTATAATATCTGAAATGGATTTTCCTAAATTCACCATAAAATGTTGTTCAACAGTTAGGATCATCAAATATTGCTACTGTAATTTCTTTGCTTTATTCTTTTTATTACAAACTTATTTTGTGATTCTTACCATCATTACATACATATCGCTTGTGGGCTGCAACAGCGGTACAACTCAAAAAATCTTGTTTTGAGATAAGTGGGTTTAAAGTTTTCATTGCTGAGGAAAATGCTTTAGTTTGCTTACACTTACACTTCAAGTTGAATTATGAACTGTGCTAGTATTACTGCTGAAAGAATGTTTATTTTCATATTTATACCTGTTCTTAGTCCAAAACGCATGTTTTTTTAGTTATGCCACTATTGCAGCCCATGAGTGATATATCTAATATAATAGTCTCCAGGTTCCTTTTAAATAAAATTTGTAAGGTCCTTAAGAAACTGCAATAGTGGCAGCAAAACTAAGAAGATAAATGTATTTTATTACGTTTACATTCTCCACAGCATTAAATAATTAATAATGTAACTTCAGATAATTGGTCACAAAATCTTGAGTTTTGAAGTTAAAGATAACTTCCTTATTTCAATATAGGTAGCATGGTTTTTTAACTGATTTAAAGACCGCATTAATCCTGTTGAAATAATAATTTACAGACGTTTGCTTCTTTCAGCACAAGATTCTGATCAAAATGATAATCAAGAACGATCCAAATGTAACACTTAATGGTAAAAACTAAATTGACTTCAAAAAATATGAAGAAAATAATCGCCCATTCTTAAAACTTGCATGACGTAAACGAAGAAAAAAGGTGATATGGAACGGAAATGTGAATTTTCCAAGGAGAAAATATAGTTAAAAGTGGAAAAGCCACAGTACCCCAAGAGTGAAATAGAAAAAAGGTAACTAGAAAACCCGCAATGGCCGGGAAAGGCAAATCAGGGCAGCATGCATTCCCACATGCCATGGAAAGATGGTGCAAAAAAGATGCTTTTTTTTATTCGGGGTTTGCAAAACGTGCTTTATCTTCTATATTTTAAAAGGAAATTTTTTCTTTGCTATATCGATTATCGTTCTAAATTACAAGAAATGCATATTTTCTCTGCAATATTTATCAGAAGCCAGTTATTTTATCATGATTATGTAAAGTTTTTGAATTTTATTGATTTTATGTTTATAAATTAAGAACTTTAAACGATAGTAAAAAAATTATTATTGCACAGATCCTAATTATGAATTATTTTTTTCGAAAATGATTACTAGATGTATTTTTTTGAGTGCTTGAAATGTGCTTATTTTTTGTTTTAAAATCTGGCTAAGAACCCTGATTGAAATTAAATTTATCCCGAGATGCAAAGAATGTGCAGCAATAGATTTATCACATTCTTGAAAAGGGACTTATCTACCATGTTCCTTTAATCTAAATTTTAAAACCCGTCTGGTTTATACAATATAGCCATGGTTGCACTGGAAAGGAATTGATTCTCTGTTTCACTCTCGGCTGCCACTATTTCTCTAGTTTTTTTTTCACTTTAATTTACCATTTTTGTTGACAACCATAATTTTTTTTCTCCCCAAATTACAAATTTTTTTAATTTTAATAATTTAGTTTTCTTTATTCACATCTGCCGAGTTTTAAATCCGGTGCCTATTATTGAGTGCTCCAAACATTTGCTTCGAACGTTGCAATCTCCAGGGCTCATTAGACGTTAATGACTCGTGACTGGAATTTTTTAATGCTCAAGACAGGTCGATTTTTATTTACATTTTAAATTTTTTGAAGAAATTGAAATTTTTATATTCCCACTGTTATAGAGTAACAAATAGAACTTTATCATCATGGACTGAAAGTTAGGCTACAAAAAAGTTTAAAGCAGGTTGAATAAGTTTATTTTTTGATTTCCTTTTGGATGGAGATGTATAAAAAAAAAAAAAAAAATTTATTTAAGTTTGTATTTCTGTATTGTCAAAAATGTAATTTAATTTTGTCTCTTAACTTAAAATTTCAATTTTATGCTCCGAATATTTAAACTTTAAATTAATGATGTTATTGACTAACACTTAAAATGAGCATTCTATTATTTTTTCTTGTAAGAGTCAGATGCAAGTATTATAATTTTGTGGGAAAATGGTGTACATTTATTTTGGATATGTGATTAGTTATTCAGCTCCTGTTTAAATGTATTATTAATATAAAGCTTACTGTGGCTACAGACTGTCAGCATTAGAAATTTACCATCTTGTAGAAGTTAGCTCTTATTCCAGTTCTATTAGAGCTGTTTAGTTCCTTTAATATGAGACTTGCTTTAGAAGTTATTGTGGTTTAGATTTTACTGTTAAAGGAAGTTTGAATGGGTTTTATACTTCACATATGTATTACTAGTGTGTACATGTTTTCACTGGTTCATTTACATGTCTCCTATTAGATTTTTTTTTTTTAAATTTTAATAAAATAAATTTAAATTAAAATACAGAGGATGCTATTTAGTGACAAAAACAAACCAAAATATGAAATCAAACAGCTGACCATACATTAATTGCTGGTTTAGTAAGCACAGATAGTTATTTAATGTTTTTCCCAATCAAATTTAGTTGTCTTGGACCACTAAAATGTTACTGGGAAGCTTTAATTTTCAACCTATGTTTGTATATAGCTATATTTGTATAAAACTTAATTTACAAACAAAACTATAGTCCTATCGAATCATTTTTGAAAATAATGTTTTCCATTTTATTAAATAATTATGAGTTTAATCATATCAGATTTAAGTAAATCTGTTTTGGTTTTTACAGAGTGTAAATATCTCTCACTTTTATGTTATTTCTTGTTTTTATCCTTCTATTTTTTCTTTCAATTGTCTTTTTAAATTATGCAAAAAATTTTATACATTATTCTTAACACAATATGTATTTATTTAGACAGTACTCCCTCTCCAAATATAAGTGCTCTTCAAGAGTTGCAGGAAAACATCAGTTTTGAAGAAGTGAGCCTTTTACTTTTTTCTATATCAATGTCAATTAAGTGTTTCCTTTTGACCTATTTATTGAATAAATATTTCTTTCTGATACAGTAACAATAAAAATAAAATAAAACAGTTTTTCTGAATTAAAAATAAACCTTATCACCTGTCTTTTTATCCAAACAGTTCATAAATAACTAAGGCATTAAGAGTGTCTGGTCATTATAATTATAAAAACACTTCCAAATACATATATGACCACATAAATGTACTGGAAAAAAAAACTAAATAAACATTTTTAAAGTTAGTAATGTCTCAAAATTTCTAAAAATTTTAACTTGAAGTTGTAAATTTCAAATTTTAGAAATTCTAAAATTATTCATAAATTATTTAGGAAACTCATTTTCTTTTTTTTATTAGTTTTAGAGAATATTATTAAAACTAAATGCTCAGTCTCTCTTTTTTTAAAGTTAAATAACTAAGCTAAACTATTAAGCATGCGTTATCACTAATGCTTTTAATTCCCTTGAAAATTAAGGAACAGAGCAAGAGCCATGTACAGGCTTAAAAAAAATGACAATACTTGTTAGAATGTTTCGGGCTGAGGTTTATGGTTTTTATCCTTCATTTCAGTGATTATTTCTAAATTTTCCATTCTTCCCATACTGTTGTAAGATTCTGCTAACACACTTGATTGAAACTGATTCAAATAGTTGGCTATATATTGTTAATTTTTACCATTTCCTTGTAAGTCATTAACTCGAAGTTTTATTGATTTTGGAATATCATGTAAACGCCCCATTTTTAAACAAATTCTAAACGTAAAATACACAAAAAGTCTTTTTTAAGATAATCGTCTGCAATGAATCTAAACTTAATGAGCTTTTTTTTTTTTTTTTTTTTTAGCAGTTTTTCTATAAAAATATTAAAAACAGATATGGTATTATATTCCAATTATTTAAATCAAATATTCTTATATTTTGAGATTTAATAATAATATTTCAAATAATTATTTTTTTTTTTTAGAAAGGAGCAAATTTTAAGCTTGTGTCGCAGTATGATAGAAAATTAGTTCCTAAAAAAATATCACCCGCATATATGCCTTATATAATATTTAAAAAATAAAGTGTTTTCTTTTCACCGGATGAAAAAAAATGGATTACTCTTATATTTTGAATCAGAGTCGTAGTATAAATACCTATTACATAAATAAATATTTATATTCTAGGGAAATTCTGGACAAAAAAGGTATAACCTGCGTAGCCGGACGAATTCTCCAGTATCACCCTTCTTTGCACAACAAGCTTTAGCTGGTGTTAAATTAAGTTTTGGAAACAGATTGTGAAAATGTATTTCACTTAAAAGATTTTTTATAGCATTTCCTGTTAAAAAGTAATGTGAATTTTTAGTTACAAAATTTTTTCTTTTTTCATAAAACTTGTGGAAAACAAGTGCTATCATTAAGCTCTTTTATTTGTATTAAATTTAAGTTAAAAAAGTATAAAAATTTGTTACTCTATCTATACTTTTAAAATGCGCGGTTTCTCTGTAAAAAAATATATATATACTATTTTAATTGTGTTTTATTAATGGAATATAACACTTACAACTATATATGTGTGTATGTTCAGGGGTCTGTCCAGGCCGAATTTACTACCGTTTAGCGGTAGTTTCACAAATTCAACTTTAGGAAAAACGGTAGCTTCACAAATTCAATTTTAGGAAAAACGGTAGTTTCACAAAATACTTTTTCTTAAAATTTTATTTTTGTATCCCTTAAGAAACGATAAATCCATATTTTTACCATATTTTTGTGTAGATTTTTAAATATGATTTTTAATTTTTCACAAATTATGTCTAAATTTTCACAAAATAGGTACCTCTAAGAAAAACCTAGACAGACCCCTGATGTTATATCTGTTGTGTTGCACTCTTATATTATTAGACCTTAATATATTATTTACAAAATTAAATTATCAGTTATTTAAAGTTTCTCTATCTATCTTATATATATAATTTTTGCTTTTGTAAATTAACATGATTTTACCCAAATATAATTTTAGTTATCTTTTGTATGTCTGGTAGCAGAACTGATTGAGCATAAAATATTTGGTTTAGTTTGAGGGCTCACAGAGAAAATAAACCTATATCAGGGTTGCCACAGGCCACTAAAATGCAACTATTTTTGGCATGAGACGACTATGGCAACTTTTTTTTGCCTGAAAAGGCTATAAAAAAAAAGCGACTATTTTAGGAAAAGGAGACTATTGGAAGACTTTTCTGTGCTCCTAGCAATGTTTTTTCAGCATAAATTGGGTTCAAAGTCTGCAGCCCACGATAGCTTTTGAACACACAACTTTTTTTTCTTAAAAAGTAAACAATTTTAAATTGCCAATTTCAGCCTTCACTTTTTAATTCGTTTAATCTGCAGATTCCATTGCAAATATTTCGTTTCCCGGTCTCCTTTTCCATGGTTATTGCTTTGAAATTCTGCACGATTTTTAAAAAAACAAATTTTAATACATTATGATATGTGAATTTCAAATTTGAGTAATCACTTTTCACAATATATATGTGAGTGTATATATATTTCCTAGATAAATTATTAATAAAAGGGAAAATTGTGCTAGAAGATTAACGTTTATAAAAAAATTATCATTTGCCACCAACTTGACTAAATGGATCATGGTATTCGACAATTAAGTCATTAACAAAATTTTAGTCATAGTTTTGATGAATCTTTGTTCTTATTTAGGCAACTATTTTCATGCTTTAGGTTACTAAAAGCAACTATTTCGTCCATTTTTTTCCTGTGGCAACACTGCTATATTTATTTATCTCTAAAATCTAAATATGTGATTGTTACTGCCTTTGTAAATTGACATGGTTTCGTGCATATGTAATTTTAGCCATTAATTGTATGTCTGGTATTGGAAAAAAATATTTTGCAGCTTGCATATTTAACACTTTGCTTACAGCTGGTACGACTGATGGTCCAAAATAATAGATGTTTCGAATGCCTTAAGCAAAAGGTTAATAATATAAATTTGCATTGCTTTTTAACTTTGAGTTTGCTTATTATCTTTTCCCTTCTCACTTCAACTGATGCAAACTAAATCTCTTGCACTGACTTTTTATTTTTTTCGACTTATATATAAGTATATATAAACACAATACAGCTATTATTTATAATTTATTGTACTAATTGAAATTTGATTAAATGGCAAACTATCATTTATTTTAGAACTATATAGAACCCTGACATAATGTATTTCTACAATGAACTTTTTCTATGAATTATAATCAGAATTGATTGTATTTTATGTAATATAAAAAACATTTCGAAATCAACTTTTTGTTACATTTAAAGAAACTATTTTTATTTTTGAAAAACGTAAGGTCTAATAAAGTTGTTGAGAAAATGTTCTTCAGATAAAATCTATCAAAAGTGATAATTTTGGCAAAAAAAAAATTTCTCTTTGTAACTCTAATTGTAATTTTCTAAATTTGCTTTAGAACATCCTATTTGTTCAACATCTGTATTTATTTTTATCATCTGAGTTTATTTATTCATTTAATTATTTTGTACATTGTAATGATAATTAGTCGATGCTAGTTATTAATACTTAGGAAATCTGGTTTAAATTACTTTATTTTGTTATGTCTATTTAAAATTGTCACTCACTATTCATTTATTTAAAAATATTTTGAACTTGTTTAAATTTTTATGTATTAATACAGATTCAATAATTTATTTCATATTTATTGCTATTTACTTCAAAATGAATAATGCAATGAATGCATTAATTTAAATAATTATAACTTTATATAAATTTTTACTATATCTTGACTTATATCATTTGCCCTTTTAATAAATGTTTCATAACTTCAACTTTTGTATCATTTCATAACTATTTTATATGAAGTTAAATATATTTAATTTCACTTATCTAAAGAGCTTTTGCTTGTATAGCAGATAAAAATAAGAGTTTTTAGCTCAATTTTTCTTTTCACATTAATTTATTTTCTTACATAATTGAGCACAATATTCTTTATCTGCTTGTTCACAGTTGAGATTATTGAAGTTGTTTTTCTTTCTTATGAAATAATGTACATTGCAACTGAAGCCTAATCAAGTATTTTTGTCGAAGAAGTTGCTAACAATGTGATAACTGCAATCGAAAGTTTCTAAAACACAAATATATAATTTCATAACCTAGATAAACTTATTAGAGACAATTAAATAAACCCATTTTTAAGTTAACCATGAGCATCATCAAATACTTGAACTGGAGGAAGTAATTTTACAGTGTGCAACCTGCTTTAAAAATTAAATACATTCAACATTTTGCATACAAAATAAATTTAATGTAATTAAATTTCGAATTGGATATAACGTTTCGTTGACGCTTTTTTTAGAAATTAAATGTAAAAAAATAGTATTATTTGTGAGCAACTATTTGAGAAGCTTCTACTTCAAGTCAACATATTCATGTGATCATGTAAAAAAAATATATGGAGAAGAGAATTCACTAAATATTTACTAACATTTCTATATCTAAAATAATTACTTACATTTGTCAGCTTACATGTATCACTGAATCAGGTATCTGATTTTTCCAAATTACTCGATTCTAATTGAGATCTGAATCATTTGATTTGAATAGTGACTGAAATTATTTAAAATCATTGATCCAAATTACTGATCTGAATTTTTTGATTCGAGAAGTGCTCCAAAACACATGACTTGAAATACTTAATTCAAATCAGGGATCGTGTGATTCAAATCACTGATCTGAATCACCTAATTCAAATAGTTATCCGAACCGCATGATTCGAATCATTGGTGATGAAGGGGACCCTATTGTGAGGAATAATTGTTTTAGAAGACAATAAAATGATGTTAAGGCATATAAACACTCCTGAAAAATGTTTTTAAAAAAATTAAGTAAATTTTAATAGATAAATCATTTTTATCAATTTCATCATCAATTATTGGAATCAATAAGCGATTTGAATCACCAAAGCGATTGAAATCGCTTTTATGATTCGTTTTGCCCAACTCTCATATTCACGTGCTTTCGTCGTAAATACACATGGTATTTTTATTAATCTTTTTTCACTTATTGCTGCAAATTTTTACAATTTTTAAAATCTTTTTTTTCTTCTATTTTTTGATGCGATGATAACTTGCAAAGTGCAAAAGAGGAAGAACATGTTATTTTGTTCAATATATATTCTATATATTTTGTAGCAAAAATTTATGCGATAAAAAAAATGTTTCTCTTTAATGTTATTTTTGTGCATAAAAATTGCAGATTTTTATCTTCTATGTACAAAAGAAAAGTACTAAAAAAATTGCTTGATAAAAAACTTCAGAAAATAGAGAATTTCTCATTCCAGTAATCACATGTCTGTAAACCAAATTAAAATTAAGAATCTTGAATGACTGTAAAATAAATCACTAATACTAATTTTTAAGGATGAAACAACTATAATTTAAAAAGAAAAGTTCTCATTGTGGGCGAATTTGAGTTTCGCCAGTAGCGGCAACCCTGTTCCCCTGCACAGCTTACACTTAACCTTCCGTTTAAGCTCTCGTGCTTATCGTTTTTCCTAATTTAACTGTTATTTGACAACTATTTATGGTTAATTGCAACCATATTTTGGAATATTATGATTCATTCAAAATCATTTAATAGATTAACTGTTTTCGTTTACAATAAAAGCTGTTATTGTTTATGAGCTGTTTCCTTTAGTTATTAGTTGCCACCAATGGAAACTTTAATATTAAGGTAGGTTAGACCCTTCACTCATCAATAAAATTGAATTTTTTTACACAATTAAACTTTGCAATTAAAAAAGATGTGAAAAAAAAAGCTTTTATTTTGGAGGGGACAATTTTTACATAAAAAAATCCGCCACAGAGATAAATATTTGGGTGCAAAGTAATCAATAATTAAAAGTGTACCATTAAATTTGCATGGCTTTGCTATTTCAGTACTTCTTACCCTAATTGAATGTCCACGCGGTTATCTGTTTACCTTTTCTGTTACAGAAATATCAATTTCTTAAAACATGTTTTGATAAGCAAATTTTAAAAGAATCCCTTAAAATAATTTTAGTAGATTTATTTATATACATATAAAAAATTATTTGCCTGAATAATTGGCTTTATATTTAGAATAGAGAGTTAAACAACCTATAAATATTCCAAAAAAGGTAACCACACACTACTAGACGTTATTTTATAACTTTAAAAGCTATCCGATATTGATTTCAGATCTGTAAGTAACGCTTCAAATTACTTGCCAAATTTTTCTACACAGTATCCTTGTAAATAAAATAGTGTTTTTTTCTTTTTGCATAGCACATAACAATGTGTTACATATGTTTTAAACCTTGAGAACAAAAAAATTCTAAGAAAAGTGATAGTGTTTATTTTTAAAACATATATATATAGTTTAAAAAGCGATTGATAATATAACCCAATAATTTTATTATTTGTGACCACTATACTACAACATTATCGTACTAAGATTTATTCAAATATACATTTAATTCATCACAAGAACATAGTTCTTTTAGTACTAAAAAGTTCAGCAATTGAATTTTAGCACATCCAGCAAATTGGTTCTTCAGAAATGTTGGCAATCCTCGAATATGATCATGCATAACAAACATTGGCACTCTCACCAAACCAAAGGTCTAAAATACAGGGCGAAAAAGGAAGGAAGGAATTAAATGCCTATGTATATTTAGAACTTAAAATAAAATTTTCTTTAATTTTTTTTTATAGAAAAAAAAAACATTTAATTGAAGGAAAAAAATTCTATACTGCTAAAATATGAAAAATACCAAATTGTAACAAACCTAAAGATGATAATAATTTTAAAAAAAGTCTCAATTTTAAAATAAAACCATCAATAAGTAGTTTACTTTCTCAAAATAAAACAAACTATTGACTTGTACCAATACTGAAAACCTTTTAATTATATTATGAGCACAAATTGATATAAAATGATTAACATTTACAACATATCTCTTGATTATTTTTAGGGTAAATAAGAAACTTGCCTGACAATTCCATTTGTAATCTCATTCTCAAATAATCTCATTAATATATGACATACTGACTCAATTGTTAAAAATTTCATTTACATCTATCATTAGATTTATACACACTGGCCAACTAATCAGGAATCTTAGTTAAATATTTCATTGGATCTCTTTTTTACATAAATTAGAACCTGTTTTTGTGAGTTTATCAATTTCACAAGTTTCGGAAGTACATATTTGTCCAAAGAGTATCATGAATTGGCTACATAGACTTCAAGATGCTGTATATTAGATGAAAGAGAAGACTGTTGTCGGATGAGCCTTTCCAACATATCTCTAAACATTTTTAATTGGTTAAGATCCAAATTTTGTAGTAACTAAGAAAAAGGTTGATAGTCTAATTTTGTATGTTTCTAACACTATGGGCAGTTGCATTATCGTCAATGAAGTATCGGTCCCCTTTGTAATAATAGTGTGATATTCTAGGCTAAATTTGATATGCTAATGTGTCCATGTGATGTGTGATTTTTGTTTACCCATGAGAAACATCAGGACACCATTTCCATATCAGTCAGTTTAACTTATCTCACATCATGATACTCAAATAAAGGCAAATGAAAATCTCCTAAGTTTGAAATTCATTAACCAGTTATGTATTTTAGCTATAGGCACCGTAAATGATATATTACTATTTAGAATTTGATTTTTTTCCTCATTTTCAGTCTTTAGACGAAGAAAAAAGCAAAATAACTAAATTGTTATTTTGTTTTTGATTCCTTGCATGCAAATAATTAAAATTTTGAATAAAATATTTTTAGAATATGTATTATAATTCTTTAAAAAGTGCGATATTCAAAAGTAAAAAAAAAACATGACTAAAGAAGTTATTAAAAAAATTGTACAAGCAACTAAGCTGATCGACAGAGTATTGATTGATAATCAAAAAACATAATTTGACGCAACTTACAAATACATTTAATGAAACAATTCATTATTGTGCTAATTAAAGGAAAGAAAAAATATTTAAACACATTTTAACCCACTGGTGGTTTAGCAAATGGGCAAAATTGGGAAAATATTTCGCCCCAATACATCACTTTTCTATGTAATAACATGGAAAAACCGGTTTTGCTGTGGGGAGAAGACAGCAGGTTAAAATAAGACCTTTTTCGTGCAGAACCGTCAGTGGATTAAAAGTGGCAATAGTGACATAAACAGAAATAACAAAATCTTAAAAAAACTGTATAGCACCTAAACATAGTTATGACTAATGACCTCATAATATATATTTATAACCAGCTCTTAGCAGGACTGTTAATTATAAAATATAAATCAATTAAAAATAAAATAAGAGATAGGAAAACAGTAGAGACAAAAATACTTTTAAGCAGATTTGAATGCAAAAATGTTTAACTTTTAGATAGAATTACGTAAGTTTCTTTGTACATAAACTATTTTTTTATTAATTTGAACATTTTGCTAAAAAAAATTTTTTTTGCACAAATTTTGCTTCTAAAACATAAAAAGTCAATAATAATAAAGTGAAAAACTCTAGCATTGTTCTGAAAACCATAAGGTACTTGCATGTTTCAAGGCATAAGAATGAGTGAGATTTTCAGGGAACTCCATAATCCTAAAGTTGGCAAATATTTTGGAAAAACTAAAAAAAAGGCCTAAATATGTTGGTCAAAAAAAGTTAAGATAGGACAAACTTTTGAATTTAAATTCAGCTTTTTATCTTTAGCAGTATAATGGGATAGTTCTACAATCTACTTACTTCAATACTACATGATTTAACTCAATTCCATATAATTTAATTGGAGATTTTCAAAACATTTTTACTTAATCATAACTTCACTATTTACCTCAATTCCATACTCATCAGCACACAAAGTGTCATATTCTATACTCTGAAATTCTTCTTTAGATACTTCTTTTGCATAAAAATGATAGCAGAACTTCTTTGAGTTGGCCACATGGGTAAACATATGATCTTCATGAGTTACGTGAAATGTTGATTTCAAATTTATTTCTTCTTTAAGTTCACGATTCAGCCCTGTAAGTATATCTGTTCCTTCGTCAATTATGCCCCCATGAAACCCAAGCGTGCCATCAAAACGCATTTGCATCTAAAATGTAAAATTATTCAATTACTGTAAATTTCTTTCGAAAGTTTAATGCATGTTAAGCAAAGTTTACCACAAAAAATAAAATTTTATTGATCATGATTTATTATTATGGAAATAAATTTGTTCAAGTTGTTTCCTAGGTGTTAGGTATAGAAGCGATTTCACGTGCTGAGCTTCATATCTAAATCATGGTGAAGTCTGAGGATTAAAAGTCAATAGTTATACACTTAATGAAACCATCGTAATAAATGAATAATGCCTAAAATTATCTACAGAAACTATAATAATTGTAATACCTTTATAACTCATACAATAACAATTTTAGTATCACTTTCAATAAACAAAATCATTCTTCAAAAACGGAAATCATTAGTCCTAATTATATTAAAAAGTCAAAAATATAAATTAAAACAAACAAAAATTACTTTAGTAACACTTAAGATATTAATTCAATTATTACGAATATCTTGAAGAAAGATAAGTCATTAAAATTGAGAAAGCTTAATGAGAGAATTTTCTAAGTGAAATTATTGTATTAAAAAAAAAATTATAGGAGACACCCCTGAGAATAAGTAGCACATTTCATGTATGTACTTTATTTACGCCACACCAGAGCTGCCCAATGGGGTATTGGCGATGGTCTGGGAAACATCCCTGAGGATGATCCGAAGAATCGTAATTTTGGTTTGATCCAACGGCCTGCGCGCTAAGTTGAGCACTTTACAGTAGAACAGTTTAATGAGGGTCGATACCGTGCACCCTCGATTCCAACGCAGGGTGCGTAGTCAAATCTTTGAATCAGAAATAAGCACTTTTTAAAAACTTTTCAAGCACTTTACAAAAATTTTTAAGCACTCAAAAAATTCATATTCAATCAATGATATTATTGATAAAACAAAAACTTTTTATAAACAGTTTTAGCGTTAAAAAAAAAACGGCCGTAAATCGAAACAATCAGTACTTTCCCACATCACCGAGTGAATTCAACTTGACCCTGAACTCAGAACAAAAGTACCCTTACCCCCTACGTCAAAAAAAAGTGTTAGAAGTAAAAAAAAATAAACAAGAACAAAATTAAAATAAATTAAAAAGAAAAACATTTCATAAGGATCTGATATTCTTTATCCGAATTGGAGCACTCGGGTTTCGGTTTAAAGTGTGTGCGCATGCACAAGTCATAACGTGGGTACGACATAAAGTCCGGATGAATGATTTCGTAAGCAAACTCCCCATTTTTCGTGAAATGCATGGGATCCACCAGATATCACTGAAGGGAGAAGAAAAAAAATTTTGGAAAAAAAAGCACTTTTTAAAAACGCCAGCTGAAAAAAGCACCTTTAAAAGCTTTTAAAAACGAAATCCCAAAAAAGCACCTTTAAGTACTTTTCACAAACGCTACGCACCCTGCTGATTAAAGTGGTCACCTACCCGCTTACTGACCACAGTCAGTGATGCTTGACCAGTGTTCTACTGGGAACCGTGTTTTTGAGATTAGTCCACTAAGGGGCAAAATAGAAGTTCAGAATTAAAATAAACAAACCATGAATAAATACTTTAATTTCTCTCATTAAAAAGCTACACAAAAGAAACAGCTTGATTGTTACAACTATTTCTGGAACACTTATGCATCATATACCATAGAAAATAAATGTAAAAAAAAAAAAAAAAATGGTTCACAGAGGCTAGTGTAAAATTGGAGTATATATGGACTTCAAGGTATCACAGCGGATAATTTTTAAAAGTTTAAATATTAAATCTTTTATGGAAATTTTAGTTTTGAGCTCAATACTACCATGACGAAAATTCTATTGTAATTAGACTCTGCAAATTTGATAAGAAACATATTAAATTTTACGTGTTTTTATATTTACGGAGATCAAAGCTGATGATTTGTATTGCTGATCATAATCAAAGAGTACTGTTGGATTCCGAGAAAAAATACAACAATGAGCTGCATGAGTGTATTCTTTCAATTTAAGTGCTTTTTCAAAATCAATAATTTCGTAAGATGGGTCACTTTCTCCAATTTTCATGTCGAAAGATAAATAAACTACGACAAAAATTCAATTTTCGGTTTAAATGCCGAACTTCGAACTGACTGCAGTTAACAACAGTCATTTTGTTGTACTGTCACTAATGCTTCTATTAAAAAAATTACATTTGATACTAATCATTGAATAGTATCAGATATAGAAATCTTTTGTTTTAAATGGAAAAAGTAAATGGTTTGGAAAATTTTTACTTTTATATTTTAACTAGGAGTTTTAATTATAAAGAAAAAATTAGGCAACGTGTTTGAGCTAAGTTGCTATGGCAACAATGACGAAATTTTTTTTCATTTTATTTTTCCAACCCTCTCGCGGTGGGACACGTCAACTATTTTAATTGTATTGTTTTTCCCATTCAGCAGAAAAAATAAAACGAAACAAATTGAGAATAAGTGTAAATTTGGACTTATTATGACTTATATATTTTAAAATAAAAGTTTTATTAAATTCTATCTTTTATATCATAAAAAAACTAGCAACATACAGGACAGGTTTGGTTTATTTTGTTATGTTACAAAAGAAATTCTCATAATTATATCTTTTCTGGTATTAATTAATTGTTTTTAATATAGGCAACATATTTAAGATGACATTGAAAAAACAAAGTCAGTTGTTGGCTCGGGTGAATTTTCCGCTTTACACTGTTCAGTGTTTATCTGAAAGGCATGTCCTAGTTGCTGGTGGTGGTGGAGGTGCTAAGACCGGCGTACCTAATGTTATCGTAAGTTTCATTTTTTTTTAACTTAAAAAATGAATCAAAATAATTAAAGACAAAATATAGCATTCAAATATGAAAATAATGAAGTTTTTATAAATTATGATCTTCCAAGAAACATGGTTCTACAGTTTTGTATCTTTGATTAAAGAAATAACTGATACCCAAACTACTTATTAATAGTTTTGTCTTTCTAGTTCAAAATATTTTGCAGTTCTGTTAATGTTTTAACTACTGAAATTTTTGGTAAAAATCGACAACTGGGTCTTTTTCTTTTCTTTTTGCTATTTTTTTATGTTTTTTCTGAAGACAAGGACTTTATGGCTTAAACTCAAAATTTTTTTGGGATATTTCCATATTGTGATCTGTTGCACCAACTACAATCGCCATGGTGCCAAATAGATTTTAAACTTGCAAATTTTTTTGAAAAAACATGTAGATATTTGCCCGGGGTGGCTCTGAGTTATACATTTCGAGTTTGTTCCTTTCTGTGATGTTTTTTTTAGTTTCTCGCTGGCCGCTGCCCGGAAGTTGCTAGGGCTTGATGATTATTCTGCCAAAGATCAGGATAAGGAAATCTCCCCGATTTTCTAATAAGTAATTGAGATAGTAATAATCACATTATAGAGGATTTTATATACAGTAAAAGTTCTGAAGAAAAGTGCTCGATCAACAATGCACCCAATTCTACCCTCTAATCGAATTTTTATTTATACTTAAATTAACAATAAGATCAATCATTAAAACTAAAATTGAGTTTTTTCAATGTATGCTATGAGCTAAAAAAAAAATTTTTTTTTCTACAGTGCAAATGCTTCTTAGTTACAAAATCATTTTAAAATCGTGCTCTTAAAAATCTATGTACTTTAATATAATTTCTAAACTTTTGATATAACAGAATTTGCTTCAGAGTTAATAATTAAATATTTAGTCTTTGAAAACTGTAGTTTTTTTTTTTTTTCCATTGCGGAAAGAGGATGCAGTTTTTGATATGTTTATCAAATAAGTTTTTTTTTTTCATTTAAATTTTTTATTCAATTATGATTGTCTAAAAAGAATAGTGTGAAGAGTGATTAATAAATAACAAGATTGATTTTTGTTTTATTTAATGTTCAACTTATACTGAGTAGGGGTAATTTTTAGTTTAGTATAATTTTCTTTCTCACTTATTAGAATCAATTCCAGATTGAGCAAACTGCATTGCGCAAGGAATATTAAGTTGAGAAAAACTTAATCTAATAAAATTTTAGTTAATTAATTTTTTAGAGAAATAAATTTTTTTTTAAAAATTATAGCTCCTACAATGAGATTTTTCTAATTATATGAATTATGGACTCTTTAGCTTTTAAAATATTGTTTTTTGAAAGCTCTGATCAATGCTTCATAAAAATCAAAATTTTACATAGTAAATATGCACATACAAAAATATACATAGTAAACTCTGTAAAAACTGCATAGCTTTGTGTAAGAGCCTTTGTTAATTTTAGAATTTTTCAGGCTACAAATCATTTGTTTACTTTTTCATAACTCAATTTTTATTTTATAAATTTAAGTAAAATTACTAATATTTTATGCATCATTATAAATATTTTATTTAATTATATCTCAGATAGAGTAAGACAGGATAATTCACTTAAGTTAAAATTTATTAAAATTTCATTTTAAATAGTTACAAGCTCAGTGATGTTTGAAAATATATTGCATAATTTATTTTTTAACAAAGATTATTTCATTGGCACTATAATTGTCTTTTGGAAATTTAACCATCTGTTGGCTATTTGAATTTTAAAATGTGTGCAGATTTTATCAGGGATGTGATTCTTCCGCGGATCCGCTGATTTCCGCTTTTTTCAGATTTTTCCATATCTTCTGCTCTTTTTTCATAAATTTCCGCGCGGAAATTTTTTTTATGCAGTAAATGATATTTCGTTGAAAATTTTTTTCTTTTGTTGAAAATCAATTCCCATTCACGCAATTTAAAAGTTCAATATCGCGATTTGTATTTAAGCGTTTTTAAAATCCAATATCGCGATTTGTATTTAAACGTTTTTAAAACCCAATATCGCGATTCATATTCCCGCTAGTTTAAAATCCAATGTCGCGATTCGTATTCATATATATTTTTAAATTTCAATATTGCGATTCGTTATCACGCGGTTGTAATATCAAACATCGATATTCGAATTTATACGCGGTTTAATCATTACTCGTTGTGATAAGTATTCACGGACTCTAAAAAATTATGCATCGTGATTCTTATTTACACGATTTAAAAATTCAATACCGCGATTTGTATTTTCGTGCTTTTAAAATTCAATATCGTGATTCTTATTCAAGCGATTTTAAAATCCAACATCGCGATTCTTATTCAAGCGATTTTAAAATCTAACATTGCGATTCTTATTCAACCTATTTTAAAATCGAACATCGCGATTCTTATTCACGCACTCTTAAAATCCAACATCGCGATTCTTATTCACCCTATTTTAAAATCGAACATCGCGATTCTTATTCACGCAATCTTAAAATCCAACATCGCGATTTTAAAATCCGATATTGCCTTATTCACGCGATTTTAAAATCCGGCATCGCGATTCTTTTTCACGCGATTTTAAAATCAAGCATCGCGATTCTTATTCACGTGATTTTGAAATCCAACATCGCGATTCTTAATCTAAGGCCTCTAAAAATTGTGTGAGAAATGAACTTTCTTGTCCTATCAACACTGATGATCAAAAGTCTGCAAAACGCAGTCTACAGATCAGTCATGTTAATAAAAGACCATCGAAAAAACAAAGAACTGATGAGAAAGTCCATAAAGGTCCTTTGACCAATAAAGAAATGTTTTTTAAAATGATGTGATACATAAAATCGTGCTTATGCATAATTACTCAAAGTTATCTAAATTATTAAAAAAAAATTATTTTAATCAAGATTTTATTTAAGAACATAATTACCATTTATTTATATTTATTTGAATAGATAATAATGTAATCATTATCAGATTGGCTATTGAATTCATATAATTTTTTCTTTTGCACGTTTAATGCTACAGTTATAAACTTCCTCTTTTTTGTGTTTTTGTCAATCACATCCCTGTTTTATGCAATGTTTGATTTTAAGGCTGTGAATTGTCTACTATTCTAATTACTATAAATTATTGTTACTTTAAGAGCTTTCTGAATTATTAATTTATTTTTTAACATTGAATGATTTTGATGGTTGATTGATGATTAGATGGTTGATTTTAAGATTACTGTAGTAATTTCTGTAAATTCTTGTTACTTTGAAACATTTCTGATTTATTAATTTTTTAACAAAATTTATTTTATAGACACTATAATTGTTTGTTTTTTTTCCTTCAAATTTAACTACCAGTTTGCTGCATTATAAAATTAGTGCAGATTTTAGACTGGGAATTATAGTCTACTGTAGTAGTTTCTGTAAATTCTTGTTACTTTCAGAGCTTTTTGATTAATTTAATTTTGAATGGTTTAGATTTGCTGCATTATAAAATGTTTGTGAGATATTGATTTGCTTCTTGATCTAAATTGTATAGGTCTATATTTTGTAAGTTATTTCATTAATTAGTTTTTAATTATTTTTATAGCAAATCTATGAACTAATTCATGACGGTGTAACTTGCAGAGCTGAATCTATAACTCATTATGAAACTGGAAGTGAAGCCACAAGAAACTGTGCTATTCACGATGCCGGCAAGTATAAAATATTGTTTGCAGGAATGGAAGGAAATTGTCATACTTATAAAATCAAACATGAAATGATTGTAGAAAAAGAAACAATTATAAAAGAATCAAAAGGTAAGTCTATTTTGTGTTACTGATACTTTTTTTAATCTAATATTTAAAAATAGCAATTTATACTTTATTAGTTAATGCAATCAATGTTTTTAATGAATTTTATTTTGATTTATTAATTTTATATTCAATTTGTATACATAGTTCTTTTATATCTTATTAAATTTATCTTGAAAATTTTTAGTTTTGGCTTAAATTGCTAGTGATCTAATTTTTTAACCTTTCACACTTTTACTATCTTTAAAAAAAAATAGAACAGAATAGTTTTTTTTGAGATAGACTATTAAAACATATATAATTTGAACTAAACATCACAAAGTTAATAGAAATGTATAGTGAATATTTCTGTTCCTGCAGGCTTAGTGCTTAGCCATGATTGGGTTTTTTTGTCAAAATTTTGTGAGCACTATATTGGAAAATGGGAAAAAAAGGCTTATTTATAAAAATTTTAATGTCTATACCTTTAAAACCATTAATTCATTAAATGATAATTGTTTGGTTGTTTTGTTACCTATATTAAAGATATATTTATTATAAAATAAGTTTTCATGGTATCCTTATCTGACTATTTGATCAAGATTAATTTTTTTCTGTTATAATAAATTAATGTGTGTCTTACTAATCAGTTTGTCTGTTAACCGTGCTTATACGTCAAAGAATTTATTATTGAAAATATAGAACAAAAAAGATGCAACTAAAACAATCCAAATTAGACTTACCTGATTTTTAAACTTACTGATTCCGTACAATCTAATTATGAATCTCTTGTATATCCTATTCATGAATAATCAGTTCAATCTATTTTAATTAACCTAAATTGCATCTTTGTTGTTGGTATCCACAAACGTTGCGTTAAATTCTTCATTAACAGCTACTTTATTTACACTATGTCTGATATTAAGATTGCAAATATAGTCAATAAACAAAAATAATGTAAAATTTTATGTTTGTAGAATAGAGTGCTCTTTAACTTAGCACATTTAAAAAACATGCAGTTGTTAGAATTTAGGTTAAATTTTTGGTTTTAATTTTTGAGATGTATTTTATTGATTACAAATGTTTGCCAAAATTGTATCATTTCATAGCAATGCCTGAAAAAAAAAAAATTGAAATAATGGCTTCTATTTAGTTCATTTTTCTTAATTAATAAAAATATGTATATATTAATTTTAAATGGATAATTTAAAACTTACTTTATATTTGAGTATTTTTAGCTGAAAAGATCTATTGAAATTCTAAAATCAAATTTCTCAGATTAAAAATTTTTAAATTTCTCAGATTCTGATCGGATGGCAACCTTGCATTTATTTATTACAAAAGGTACTGCCAACTAAAATAAATAACAATTATAAATTTATTTGAGAAAATTAATATATAAAAAAATTTGTTATTCCTTTTCCGTACACACCCTCTTAACAATTGAGTTAAGTTGTTAGAAAATAGACCGGTTCCTGAGTGGACTGATCGTTAAGACAGGGTTCCCAGCAGATCACCGAAGTCGAGCATCACTGGCTACTGTCAGTGTGCAGGTGGGTGACCACTTGGATCAGCCTGCGTAGGCACCAAGGGTGTGCGGTATTGGTCCTCGTTAAACCGTTCTACCGTAAAGTGCTCGACTTCACATGCAGGTCGTTGGGCTACCGAAGCTGGGGTGCCATCCCCTCTGCAGAGGATAAAAATTGTGATGGCATGTCTTCGGACCATCTTCTGGGATGTTTCCCAGACCGTAGCCAATGGACCATTGTGCAGCTCTAGTGCGACGTAAATGAACAACAACAGCAATAGGGAATAGACCGAAAACTTTTCCGTGATAGTGAAGTTTAAAAAATGAGTGATAGGAATATAGCAAAAAGTTTATATAAGAAAATTAAATTTTCAACCCTTCTGTATCATAGAAAATTGAAGACGGTATGTAACTTTTTATCTTTACTTCTTTTGTCTAATTCTAATATATGAGTGTATTTTTGAAAAATTGTGGTTTATATTAGGGGTGATATAAGTGTTTTGAGAAGTTTTTATTCACACATTTTTTTACTTTTAACTGGTAAAATTTTGAATTAAAACTTAGACTATTTGCTGAAAATTTTGTTGAATGTAACATAAAAATTGTGCTTAAAATAGACTCAAGTGTAAGGCTTTGCGTTAAATAGAATTTTGTGTTATCTAGATCATTTCACATTATTAATTTTACAAAATTTCAGAAGACTCAATCTTTTGAGTATACAATTTAAGTTTTTTCTATCTCGGTAATTATGATTTTAAATCTAGACTTCAATATAGTATGTAAATATATGGAACAATATCGCATAAGTTTTTATTCCATTTATTAAGGAATAAAAAATCTCCTTTATTGTTTTTATTTAAATTTATATTACAAAACAGGAACTTATTTTTCATAAAAATGTCCTCTCCTGCATCACAAACTCTTTCTCTGTTACTAAGTTAATACTCGATATCCCATAACAGGTTAATGACTCTTATTTTAATTCTTCGAGTTAACTCATTTTTGGATACCATTGTAATATTCATTTATTATCATTATTTTTTTACTGAAATATATTTAAATGTAATATTGTTTCTATTTTCTTATGATTACTTCTTTTTAATTAGATAAGCATGCTAAATCTACAGTTAGAAAAAGAATAGTAGAAACAGAGTCAGTTGAAGAAAATCAGGTAGACCCAAAAAAGTATGAAAAAGAAGATGCAAATGCAAATGTGATACATTCCTCATCAAAGCTTCAATTTTGTATTCATAATTTGGATTCATTCCAAACTGATTTTAGTGAAGAACCTTTTCAGAAGGTTGTTCGTTTTTCAAGGTCCTCCAGTTTACTTACCACAGCTGGGGCTGATGGTCACATTAGAATTTGGAAAGTTAGTACTATAATGTTTGTTTTAAAATTTCATCTCTAAAGTTTTAAATGAATTAAAGTTACATTATTTAATGTTGAAAGCTCTTATTAATTGAAAAGTTTTAATGCATGTTGTAGAAATATTCTTATTCTGGATAGTTATTAATAAGATTTATATTTTTCATTAATTACGTTATTTATTTCCTTTTAACTAAATCACAAACATATGTGTTCTTGATTACATTTATCATTTGAGTTTGATGCAATATAGTCATTAAACTCCACATTTAATCCAGTCTTATTAAGCAACACTAACACTTGAATTTTCTGGTTATTTTAGTAAATTTTACAAAACAATCAGTAGATCATTGTTCTCATATTAAATAGCATAAAAAAGAAATTTGTTATAGCAGCTAAAAAGTAAGTTCGTTCATTGTAAATAATTGCTCTGCATTATGTTCCATTTCTGGTCTGATGAGGGTATTAAGCTATTAAAAATCTCTCTATCATGTAATTTTGGTAATTTTCGCATTTAGCTTTCTCAGAAGCAATTTGTGGGGGGAAATTTAAAAAAAAAACTTTGGTCAATTGTTCACAGGACCAATACTTAAAAGATCTTTACCATTTTGATTTGTTTAAAATGTATTAATATTTTTTTTTTTTTTTTTTTTNTTTTTTTTTTTTTTTGAAAATTTAAATGAAAATTTAGGTGAAAAATTACTACACAAAGAATGGGAAATCATCACAATTATGATGAAATATGCTACTTAGGGACAGTAACAGGAACCAAAACAAAAAGCTGAAAATAAATATATATATTTTATTCCTTTATTCTAATTCTTAGTACATGGATTCATTAATTATTATTTTGGGTAGCTAAAGTCAAATTTTAGTGATCCTGGACAGTTTTAGTATTGAGCCTTGAAATGTATATGGTTTTATTTATAATCGTTATTTTAATGCTAATTTTAACATTTATTGCAGAAGTTAGTTTTGTCATATTTTTTATATTTGTCATATTTTATATTTTTTAAAGACTTGATACTTTGTTTACTTAGATATGTGTACAATTTATTGTAACAAAATCTAAGCTCAATGTCTGTCATATAATTGAATAAAAAATTAGATTTCAAAACATCAGAACTTCTCTTTCTGGGTTTTAGCAGTAATTTTTGGAAATAGTTCTGGTTTAATGAGTGTATTGAAGTAAACCATACATAAATATCTTTATTTCACCTTTTATTTCTAAGACAAATTTTTTGTAAAATTGATGATTATTTAAGAATCTTTAAGTTATTTTACACTCATTATTTAAAATAAGGTTTTCTATTAATGTAATCTGATTTTTTTTTTTTTTCAAACTGACTAGTGTTTATTTAAGCTGCATGTTAAATGTTTTATCAGAAAGGATATTATTAAAAAGAAACAAAACAGTTTTTATTAAATCAATGGCAAGGTCGGTAGCATTTTTAAAAGTTGGTTATTTTTGGTTGTAGTAAGTAAAATAAAAAATTACCCATATTGTGAAAATATCATTGAAAATATTTTTGTAATTTATTAATTTTATATATGTGTAAGTATAAAAATATTTTATACAAATAATGCTGAAAAAAAGTTTTTTTTTTTTTTTGTGCATGTAGCCTAATTACAATTTTTTTCTTATGTTTAAAATAATTCCTTAGGTGCTTTAAAGCTGCTTAATTTTTGTTGAAAAATATGGATACACACCCTAGTATATTTTACAATAAATGGTAGAATTATGCAAGTACCAATATTTTATTTAAACAATAATTTTTGCATATATTTCAAAAACTGAAATGTTGGTACTTTCTGATTACTTTTTCTAGTGTAAATAATTAATTTTTCGTTTTCTTATTTTAAATTTGTAGTTTTGTTTGTTATTTTAAATTAGTTGTCTTTTATATTTTCTTGAAACATTCTCTAAAATTTTAGTTTAATATTCGTTCAATGTTATCCCATTTAAAATAATATTTATAAAATTATATTTATTAATTTTTTAATATTAAAATTTATTTTGAATCTTTTTAAACCAGTTTCCTGAATTAAAGAAAATTCATGACATTGAAGCACATTCCGACGAGGTAGATGATCTTGACATTTGTCCACTTGGTAAAAAAGTAAATATGAATTTAGTATATTCTGTCAAAAATTCTGTTTTTATACTGTATTTTTAAAACTATTTATTTTGATCACTTTATTATTTGACTAGTTTTTAAAACTCTTTCTTCAAATTGTAGCTTGTGAGAAAATTACATGCAATATTCTTTTACTGAATCTAAGTTATTGTCATAATTATCAAATTTAGCTGTTATTTTGTTATTAATTTTCACAATCTCAATGTTTCTTCACTGCTCTTTGCCTACACTGCTTTGAATCTTTAACCTGTTTACCCGGATATAAACTTTTGTTCAACTCTTTCTATATAGTACTTTTTTGTCTTCTATATAGTTAATAAGTAATATCAAGACATTTCTATTAATCTCTGCCGAAAAATGTCATTCCCATTTGTGTAGTAGTTCGTGTAAAGTGTATATGTATGGAATATTTTGCCCAGTTAACAAGTTAAAGCCCTCTCTTGATTTCTCTTATGTAACTTTTTTTAATGATAATATAACTAATAGTGGTTTAGCAAAATAAGTTGAGCGTATTTTGCCCAACATTTTAAATAGATCAATCGTCAAGGATAGAAAGGAAAAAGTGACAAATTTAAATGTAACTTTAATAAAATTCAAACAACAAAAGCATAAGTATCCAGAATTATAACAAACCTTTGCAATGGGATATATACTTATCATACATTTGATTTCAGTTCAGTTCGTTGCACTTCAGGCCTGGCAGCTCGTTATGCATAATAGTTTACAGGTTCCTGTAATTTTGGTACTTGAATCTATTATGATAATTACATCACAGTGGCATATAAGTGCAAAAAATATTTTAAATGCAAATGGGTAGAGGCAAAGATTGGCTCTGCCTTGACATTTTGCAATTATTCTATGTAGGTATAGAGTAAAATATAGAACAGCATGTTGTGAAAAGGAGAAGATGGCTTTGGTGCCTGATAGACATTCCAGTTTCATCTATTAAAGCATGAGGGATTTTAGGTTTGTTGATACCAACCATAGACTTCAAAAAAATCTCCAAAGTAAAAGTCCAACAGCACTGAATTGCATTATCTGAGTAGCTAGTTTTCTGATAATAAAACCATAAAGTTACATGGCGAGGAAACCCTGCAGTGATGCGCGAAATATTTAAAAATAAAAGTGTTAGTCGTTTGAGGAGCCCTCCAATTTTTGATAACTCTGAACTTTTTAACTTTCTTTTCCTTTTGCAACATTTTACATCATAAATGGTAAAAAAATTTAAATCATCAGAGAATTTAGGGAACAATTTATGTATATTATAAAAAAAAACATTGCTTTTTCTTATAAGCAATGCTTTATTGCTATAAATTTTAATATAATATGGATTCATGAAATTTTTTTTCAAAGATCATTAGAGTACATTGTGAACAGTGAATCCTCTCAGGAGTGATCACTCTCTGTTCCATACTAAATTGGTTGTTAATGGAGGTTTTTCACTCTTAGGGGTTACCGTCATCATCTTCAAAATGTTACGAAGGTACATGATTTTTCGGAAACTATTTAAATTTCTGTCCGTTTAATTTTCTTGGTATGGAAATGCCACTTGTGTATGCATTGTGAAAATCGGTTCGATGAATAAAATTTATGGTCAATAAAAATTATCCCTACTCACATAATTATATTTAAAAACAAACTTACCAATTATGAACGATAGAACTATTTTAAATAGATAAACAATTATGTTTTTTGCATTTAATTTTTATGTTTGCATTTAATTTTATATCATAAACATTTGTTAGCTTTAAAATATAAGAGGTTTGTTTGAGATGCTTAGTTTTTTCTGAAATAATTTTTTTCCTAATTTAACTTTTAACTTTAAACCTAAATAATTAATAGCAATGTCTTTAATGCACAGTGTGAGATTGAATATCTTTTTCAGAGAGTGCCAAAAAGAGCCTCTAAATACGAGCCTCACACAAATATTTTAAATAAATCTAAATTTCTTATTTGTTTTGTTAGTATTTTTTATTACAATATTTTTTTGTTGTTTCCTTATTTGACCTTTTCCGCATGGGGTGCAGAGGCTTGCCGAGTTGATTGGAGAGGTTTTGATGATCTCTCCTAAAGGTCTTCTTCAACACAAAGTCTATGAAAAAAATTCTGTTCCTTCTAAAAGTGGTCATAAACAGATGTCGCTTCAAAGAGGTGGTCTTTCCTTGAGGTTTCGCTGTATTATCATTCTACTTTAAAGTTGTCTTTTCTTTGTGTACTGCTGTTTATATATATANTATATATATATATATATATATATAATATTATTTTTAGATAGTTAGCATTTCAAGAGATGGGCATGGTAAAATTTGGAATGCTGAAAATGGTTCTCTTGTCACAGAACTTAATTACGTTCTACCTTCCAAATCTACTGCAAAGTATATATTTAGAAGTTGTAGGTATGTTTATTCGAGCAAAATTTATATTTTAAGATCACATAAAAAAAATCTTTATCACAGTGATTATTTTTAATCCTTTGTAATTGATTTTTAATATTTCAGAGAAATGCTAGTAATATATATCTGTTCATCAGAAAATTTTATTTCAACCTCTATTTAAATTTCTATGATAACAATTTAATGCTGACTGATAATTTTTATATAAAACTAATACAGTAGTATAAATTAAAGTATAAGTTTTTCTTATAAGTAATAATTTTGAAAAAAATTTTAAGAAATCCATATCTCTGTTTTTAAGTGTATAATAAATTGCATGGCATATTTAAGAAATAATTTTATTTCAAATGGAGGAAAAAGTTACCTTTATGTTATTTAAAATGAGTCCAAAAATTTTGCTTGAAAAAAAATCAAGTTAAGAATAGATAGTTTTAATCAATTAATGACATATATACTTTTTACTAAAATATATAAGTAAGTAAAGTAAAGTACTGCATAACAAACTATCTCAATTACTTTTTGGATGCTTACAAGCCCAGGTAATAAATAAAAATAGTTTCAATTTTTTTTTTACATATCTTGTTCTGCAATACTTAAATATCATTATAATCAACCAATAAAATATATATTTATTCTTAATAATATAAGTTGTTGTTTAAAGCACATGTTTACCTTAGAATCACTGTTTTTGTGTTCATATGACTTATGCTCTTTTATTGGAATTTGTTTCAGATTTGGTATAGTAGAAGACAAAAATGACTTGGCTTTATTTGCAACTCTAAATCCACGTGAGCGATCGAAACCTCCAATGTGTTCGTATATTTGCAAGTGGGATACAAAAGAATTCTTATTGCAAAAAATCGTTTCGGCTGGAAAGGACATGTTAACTACAATGGCTATAAGGTATCATAAAAATAAGTTACTTATTTTGATACATTTTTTTCTTTATCCTTTAAAGTAGACATAATTAAATTCCAAAAGTTCTCAACCTCTTTTAGCCATGACACAGAATAATTGCCTAAGTTAGCTTCAGAAGTTGGAAATCTACATTGAAATTACTTATTTAGTAATTTCAATAATTTAGTAATTTCAACAATAATTTCAATAATTTTTCTTTTCTTTTTTTACATCCTGGAAGCTTTTGACCCATAGGTTAGAAATTCCTGATTTATTTTACTAAGCTTTAACTGCATTTGAATTAAAAATATATAATTTTTTCATATTTCGTTATATTGTGTGAATTATTTTTGATATATTTTATCTTCTTTAAAGCTTTCAGCTCTTTTTTTTTTTTTTTTTAAAAAAGAAAAATTAAAAATATCTGCAAGTAGTTTGTTCTATGACATCTTATTTACATGGAAAGCTGTTTTCTTTATCGGCCTTATATTATTAATAATTGAAATGACTTACAGATTTTTTAGCAGAAGTTAAATGAATGGAAGTTTTATTTAAAGAAAAGCTTAATACAGTTTTTTACTCTGATTTGAATTAATTTTTTTTGTTTTGTTTGAATTATATGTTTATTGTAATTTTAGCATCAGTTAAAGTTTTATATAAAAAAAAATTATGATTTAAGTATGTTTTAATTATATTTTTACTTTTTATTAATTATAAGTGAAAACTAGCATTATTAAAAATAAGTTTAAGATTGTAATTTATGATAATTAGATTTTGTTCAATATATTTCTGCAATTGTGGATACTAAAGTTTAAAATATTGCTACTTTGAATTTTACTTGGATGTAAAAACTAACACATACTTAAGTAATACAGAAATAAAAAAATTTCTTTTAGATAACCTTTATAAAAAATACAAGCTTTTCAATAAAAGTTAGTTTTGTTTTTATAATTGCCAATACCTATTTCTGGTTTGCATTTTAATATGTTTTTATGAATGAAAAAGAAATATGCTTGGGAGATAAGATAATGGGAGGAGGAAAAAAACTCATTATAAATCAAACATATAAAATAAAATCGAATAAAAAATTAAATTCAACTTGTTAAAATGATGTACAAAATCAAAAGCAATTAAATTGAAATGTAGCAAATTTTATGTTAATTATAAAAAAGGGGTATGTTGTTAGAATTACAAAATCTTTAACAACTCTTCATAGTTAAAGAAGAGAGATAAAGTACTTTACACCAAGATTTATACACCATTTTATGAGAAAGCAAATAAAATTATTCTTCATAATGTCCCAATTAAATATTATTACAAAAATTTTATGAAATTTGTCTAACAATATTTTATTGTTCAGATCATTTTTACGAACTTGTTTTTAAATTTTGCTTCAAACAAATTATTGGGCAATGTAAATATAATAGAAAAAATCAGTTCCACTTTGACTTTATAGTAAATAGCTATTGCTTCATATGATTGTTGAACAAACATTTGAACATTTAACATCTTAAACAAATTTATATATTTTTTATTTTAGCGACAATGGTCATTTTATTGGATTAGGTACACTAGAAGGAAGTGTCAAGATCTATATAGCTTTTAGTTTACAAGTAAGCGTTTTCTTTAATAAATCAACATCTGTAATCAAACAACCCCTATTTTATTTTTTGTATTTAAATTGTTAATTTTATGAACTTGTAATAGGCTTTTGACAGTTATACTGCTAATATAATTTTTTTAAAAATGTCTTTTAATTAATATATTTTTCGAAAAATGTGAATTTAGAAACCATGTTAGACAAAAGTAAATATTTCTTTATTTATCAAACATGATATAATTTTGTTACAGAAACTTTATAATGTAAACCATGTTCATGGAATCTTTGTGACTGGTTTAGAATTTTTACCTACACGTGAAGAAACACGTCGCATTACTGGTGGACAAGAAGCCTCCCTAATAAGCATATCTGTAGATAATCATATTGTTATTCATCACATTCCAATGAAAGGTAACTTTAAAAAATTTCTTTTGATATTAATCATACTAAAATATTTATGATACGCATAATATTCAGTCGTTTGTCATTGAAATGCAAACGCTTCATCCTGCTATTAGATATTATAAAATCATCTATTTTTTAGATCTTATAAATAAAATCTTTTTTAATATAGTGGAAGTATACAGAATTGATCATGCAGAAAATGATTTATTGCACTGAAAGAGGTCTTTGCTTCCAACTTAAATATATTTATTAGAATTACAATTTATTTTATAACTAAATGTAAATTTCACTATGCTACAAAATACAACTCCGGGCTTTTATCTTTCTTTAAATAAAGCAGATAAGAATAGTTTATTTTTAAACTAACATAAAACTTTCTCTTTATATGTAAATTTACAAACTGCAGTCAAACTCCGGTATAGTGAACACGGTTTATAGTGAACTCCCAGATATAGTGAACGAAATGTTCGGTCCCGTGCCTTGCTATACATGTATAATGTTATTTTCTGTGGATATAGTGAACCAAAAAGGTGAGGAAGTTGGATATAGTGAACTTTTTTCTGTCTTCGGCCGATTTCTTTGTTCATTTTTTTTTAATAATTTTGAAATTTCTACTTCAAAATAAATATATATACCACTGTTTAAAACCATCTACAGAGGGGAATGTAGTGATAAACATTTTTTTCTTGTTTGCTTCTTTTACCTCACTTTCCCATCCCTAAACAAACCAAGCAGATGTTTCCATCCCAGGCAGATGATGTACCTGTAAGGTGTCAGTGGGATCAAAATGCATTTTCTGTCAGAGGAAATGAGTAATTATTCATTATTGGTCAAAGGGTTAAACACTAATATGCGTTGATAAGGCCTTCATTTCAACTCCTTTTTGCTCTCAGTTCAGTTAAAAAAAGTCTGCAAACAAGTGTCTCAAATTTAACTTTGGCGACCAGTAAACGTAAAACGTTCTCCATTGATGATAAAATGGGCATAATCGGAAAAATTGAAAATGGATGCAATCAAGTTGATATTTACAAGGAATATAAGCTATGTACTTTTATGTGCTCGAATGGCAGGTTAGACAGGTATAAAAAGCGAAATAACAGAAATTCAGGAAAAATTATCTGAGAGTCAGGAAGTGTTTCCATATCTGATGTTGAGGATTGCTTATCAGCTAAAAATTACTAATTTTTTTTTACGCGCAAAACGAAGAGTACTGAAAAATAATACATTTTTTGCTACTGCATAATATATTTTAGTCATTTATTTGAATAATGTGTAATAAAAGGAAGGAGTTTGGGAACCTTTAGTTAATTGTCTGCGAAACGGATATAGTGAACTCCCGGTTATAGTGAACCAAAATGTCGGTCCCTTGAAGGTTCACTATAGCGGGGTTTGACTGTATAATAATACAAATTTGGTTACTAAGATCAAAAATCTTTGCTGTTGAATTTCATTACTAACATTTTTTTCTTTTTAAAGAAAAAGACCTACTCTGGTATTGAATTATTGCAAAATTTTTGTTTATATTTGAATGCCTTTTGCCAAATTGATTAATCCAATGAAACAAATATAAATAATCTGAATAAATAATTCTGGAATAATTTATTTATTCAATGGTTAAAAAAAGAAAGAAAAAAAGTTGTCTTTTGGTTTTAATACTTATTATTAGAGATATTTTTGAATGGGTTATGAATCATTCAAGGAACTTTCAAATATTTAGAAAAAGGAGTTAGCTGATTTAGAAGGTGAAAAATTTTTTCAGTCAATGGAAGTCACTATCTAAATAAAATGCATACTTAAAGTTGTGAATTTTAGAAATGAATTTTTTATAATAAATGACTAAGGTGAATAAGGTTTTTCCATTGTGTTTAATTAATTTTACTTAATGTTAACTTTTTACAATTAGAAGTTTGACACTGTTAAAAGGACCAGAGAATTTTAACGTGAATTATATCGGTGAAAGATGCAAAAATCAGAACTTACAAAAACTGGTTAAGCAATTTGTATTGGTATTAGAGCTTATCTTTTTTTTTTCGTAAAAAATTTTATTATGCATACTGTGATCTATAATTATTAAATTCTAGTAAAAGATTTAGAATTATTTTTAAATTTTCTTTTCAAACATATAATTTTTTTTCTTTTTTCAGCATCGATTGGATACTTAACTTTTATCATGCTGTTAATCATATTTCTTTTCCTGGTATTTGTAATGATGGACTATTTCAATTTATGAATTGACAAGCACTTGATATGACTTATAAATGTAAAATTTTTATCAAACAATTGTATTTTAATGTGTAAATTTTTTTGTCATTTTATCTAATGTATATATTTTAACTTAAAATCTAATTGTACAGAATCTTAGACGAATCTATATTGTGTGTTTTGAATTATAATAAATTATGAAATATTTGTAGTTTACTTTTGTGCGATAAAAAGATTGTTGAATAATATTAAAAGGTAGAAAGAACTTGAAAATAATGGCATGGTAACTAGGTTATTTCATAGCTTAACTTTAATTTGAAAATAAAAACACTTAAACTTTTATGACTTATTCAAAGTAAATGATAAGAAACTGTTAAAAATGTCACTGGAAAGTTGTACTATTTATGATGGCAAAGGTTTAATTATAACACCTATCAGCTAAAGACGTAATTTTCGTATGAAATTTTTAATTTGCAGCATAATGCTGTATATAAATCGCCTCAAACGTTATCGATAACCACATTATGAAAGAATTTACAATTTCGAAAATTTATTCTTTTAAGTTGTAGTTTTTTAGGAGAAAAACATAAAAAGAAATTGGCATAAAGCCTCTATTCATGAACGAAGCACAGATAAAGAACTTTTTCTAGGAGGAACTTTTTGAGCAATTAAACCTAACTATTTACTGTTTTTATGTCCTTCACTAACATTAATATTTAGCATAGTTCTTTATTGTATTAGTTACTGTTATTATAAAAAAAAAACTGGGTACACAATACCATCTTTTGTTTTGTTTATTAATAGTTTTTCAAATAATTAATGATAGTTAAAGTGTCTAATTACTTTAAAATGATTATGATCCTGTTTAATTTAATCCTTTCATGGCGGCTGTCACATACATGCCAGCATAAGACACTAATCTTCCACCCAGCATGCCAGAGTAATTTCTAGTTCATTCCCGGCCATCACGTTTGTGACAGTGTTTAGCAACATTTTAAAAACTAACTTTACGATCAGAATGGTAATGTATATAGGATTTGAGATGCATGTAGATTTGACCGTCTACTTGAAATAAGAAATATGACTCACATACACAAGGTTTTTTATTATGTAAACATGAGGAGAAAATGTTTCCAAATTGCATGCTGAAAAGTACGCTTTAAAATGAGTAAGGGATATTTGTTAGCATAAGTGGGAGAGTTTTATTTTCACTAGTGTTGTATTTTTTGGGTTTAAAGTTCAGCTTTCAATTATTAGATCTTATAGGTTTCAAATTTTTCGGTTTTTACTGTTAGTCAAAATATTTAACTGAACTTGAAATATCAGAAATTGTATTAAAATAAAAGGGAACAAGAAAATATATGTTAAAGGACACATTCATATTTTGGGGATTTCATGGATTTAGACTTGAGAGCAAAACACTCCAGCCCTAGACAGGACTAATCTTAAAGTATTAAATATTCCATTTTGGGAATGAAACTCCCAGCCTCAGTGATAAACACTCATTCAACTCCAGTCAAAACAATATAGATTACTAGCAATTCCCAATCTATGGGCCATGACTTGGTGAATTTACATGGGAGAAAAAACTCATAAATATCTAATAGACTTAACTATATATTTTGCTATAAACTAACAGTATGAAATTATTTTTAATTCAAGAAATAGAAAACATCGTGAATAAAATATGCCAATTATTGTTTCACAATCAGTTCTAAATTTTTCTACTTTCCTATTTCATAATTATTAGTTTTATAAAGCATTAATCTTCCAGCCTGTATGATATGAGCTTGCAAAAAAATAAGTCTTTCCACACAAAAAAAATTTGAATTTCTTTTAGTTTTTCACTTAAGCATAATTGATTGCATTATTTTCTGATTTGGGATAACAAATAATCTAGTTTTATCAGACTTGTGAAAAATAAAATAGCAGTGCCTTCTGAAATGAGTCACTAGAGCTTTTACGGAAAATGAAAATTATTTTCAATTTTGAACATTATTTTTCACGATTGCACAATAAATAAGGAAAATATAAATGCAGTTTACAAATCCTATTATTGTAGATAATTTCTGTCGTAAATGTAATGGTATTTTATAGGTAACTGTATACTTAAGATATTTTCATTCATAGGGTTTGCTCATTTTGAAAAACCAAATTTTTGTTGCAATTTACTAAAGAAAATATAATGCATGATATTCCATAATTACTGTCTATATTTTTCGAATCCTGGACAAAGAATAAGTCAAAAGAATTAACACATCACATGCCTCAATATTTAAGCAGTGGAAAATAAAAACACCATCAAAATCAATCTCACTAGTGACGATGAAAGTAAGAAGAAAGGTTCAAAACCAGTTTGATTGTCTGATGTAACTTTGTGTAATTCAAATAATCTAGCAATCATACAGGTTTTGATGTCAATCTTTACTAAAAAAAAATAGGCCTAGATTTACTGAATTTAGATTTTTTTTTCCCCTCTGACCTGAAATATTTATTTATTTACATTAAAGAAAATGTACACAATAGGAGATATTGTGTACATTTTTTTTTTTAAATATATACATTAAGTGGTAATTTCAAAACATTTTGTATTACAAAAAATTCTTACTTTGGTTTTAAAATAAATTTGCTAATATTGATTGCTGATTTTATCTTAAGAAATTGGACACACCTCTTATTAGTCAATTTCTCAGTAAAAAATATAAATTTGGATACAAATCCTTGTTTTTTTGCTGCAATAATGTATCAAAAAAGCAATGGTAAAAGATTTATGGTTATTTTCTATTCATCATAGAATTTTTTTTATTTTAATAATTGTAATGCATTTTGTGATCGTTTACGTGAAGACTTTACTAAAACTTAATAACAATAGTAATCTGCAATAAAAGCTTACTATTAGCATTAAGTTTCATTTAAGATTTTAAATGTAATTTAACTAACAATAGTTATGAATTTATTCACGAAAAGAGTGACACAGCCTATGAATAAAATAAATTACCAATATTTTACATTTTATTATTCTCACATATATTTTGTAAATTTTTTAGGTTGATAATACAATGTTAAGGTGTTAGCCTTGTAATAACTTTAAGAAAAAAAAAGACAGAGGCTAAAAAATTTATTGTTTTATTGACAAAAATAAATACTTAAAACATAACATGTTCTTGATTATAAAATTTTTATATAATATTTACTAGCAATCGTGAATTACAAAAGTACTAAAATATATCTGGAATGAGAAGTAAAAAGTTTCGCTCTATATCAATACAGTGTGATTTAAAAAACAATTTCCTAGATCCATTGTAAAATTTGTTATAAAAGTCAAGCTTCATTGTCTTTCTTTATACAAAAATGGATTCTATTTACTAAATTAATGCTTCATGAATTTACAGATTTATACATGAACTTACTCAGATTTACTTGTAAGTTAAAGATGTTTAAATAAATCTTATTTTTTTAATTTTGTTTTGTATAAAACTTTTTTTGTACTGGACTTCTAGAAAAATAAAATCTTATATATTTCTTCCATGTAATAAAACAAGATTTGCAAGTGTAAATTATAAAACTAATATTTTTATATTTGTAAAAAAATTTAAACATCACCGGCATGGGTTCCCAAGAAAATGCCCTGCTTACCTCACTCTTGAGACAGCTCCATATGTCAGTCTTTGTCATTCAGTGGTAGAATTAAAATAATTGTCCCTTATGTTAAGCCAACAAGTCTTATGCTTTTTTTTTCATATAAACAGAAAATCCTTTTAAAAAAATGGAATTTAAAATGCAAGCGATAAAAAACACATTGTTGTAGTTACTCAGCTAACAATATGATACAATAATTTTGCCACTTTCATACTGTTGGAACACTTCATTATAAATTTAATATTTCAAGTTTTAAAACTTAAAAATATATGAACTTTATTTAATTTAATCTTAAAATCGTCACAAAAGGAGTAAAACATTTAATGAATGTGAAAAACTACCTTGCATTACAGTGCATATTTTATATTTTTAGGGTAGTTGTAAACAATGAGAGATACTTACAATCTGATCTTAGTTACCTCTTGGTTGCTTTTAAACCTAATAAAAGTAACTGATTTATTACTCAGCCAATAATATTGGCTGTTTAAGCCTAAGGTTATCTCATCCTTAATCAAAGTTGATGAAATGTGACTAGACATATTTTCTCCAAAACTTGAAGGACTTTTTCAAGATGAGATTTTTACATCAAATTGTTAGAACTTTTTTTTAAATAAAAACCTAACAGATTTCTGGAATTTCTTATAAATAACACAATAAAGGTAAACATATTGCCTACATGGAAATAGCCTTTTTGGTAAAAAAGAAATGCTCTCCTGAAAAACTTGAAAATGTGACTTATATTGATTGAAGTTCAACAATGAAATGAAATATAAAAACCGATATTCCACACAATTTGATTTTGTTGACACTTGTACAGAATTATGTGCAATTATAATAAAATTATCAACTTTAATGTTCTTTATGGATTGGTAGTTGTTTTTGGAGCAGAGGCAGCACATCTAAATCCCAAATTACCAGCAGTAGTGTCAGGCGTATTTTGACTTCGAGCAGCACATCTATATCTGTAGCAATAGGCCTTTAAACAGAATCGCAAAAGTTCCAGCATATTAGTTTCTTCTAAAATTACAATGAAATAAGGGAAGGGAAACACTTTTTACTAGAAATCATACTTACTTTATGACACATATATGATCCTCCTTTTTTTACTTTATCACTTCCTGATTCTGGACCCGTCTAAAATAATATATAATTATGTTATTGCAAATAAAAAACATCTAACCTATTTTATAAAACTAAGAAAAAGAAAAGCACTTTTTCTTCTTAGATCTGAAAGAATATTTATATTGTTATTATTTTTTACTGTATGCAAATTTAATCATAAAAACTTAATTGTTTTCACTATTCAATCTTATGCATACATTTGCAATTGAAGAAAGTTTAATGATTGCAAACAAATAGTTGAATTTTAAATGCAATTTAATGTAAAATTTAAATTTAGAAAAAATACAAAATTGGAATGGCAAAGGCAGAAAAAATTAAGAGTTAGGGAATTTATAATTTCTTTTTTATTATTATTATCTACTTTAAATTAGTAGATTAAAATATTTCCGTTTAAGAACATCAACGTATTTGTTTATTAAAACAAAATAATTATTTAGTACATCACTGATGCACTAAATCAAAATATTTTTCTTCTGCAAAATTAGCAAGCAACAACAATATATAACAACTAATTCATTTATAAATCATCATCAGAATGAGCAAAATTAAATTTTTTTTTCTTTTGATGAAATTAATTTTAAATGGGAGACGACATTGACATTATAAATCTTTAAATCCTAATTATAGAAAATATATATGGTTTATTATTAGGATTAATATAGATTTCTTTTGTCAATAACAAATCCGAAAAGGATAATGTGTACTTGTAACCAAAGTTATGTTCACAAAACAAGCCTATACGTTACTAAAAAAAACGTAAATAAAATTTTGATTAAATCATAAAATAGTGTAAAAAATAACTATATCCTACGTAGGTTGAAATTACTAGCAAGGAAAAAAATAATTTAGTTCAAGTGCTCTTTATATTCAATGCTCTCCATACCTTTGCTTTCATTGTGAAAAATGTTTTTTAAAAACAAAGTCATAAAATGCTTGTAAAGTTTATATATTTTATGGAGAGAAAAAATCCATCAATCAATTTAAACCATCAGATTTTTTTCAGAAATTTAATTTAATTAATTGGTTAAACAATCTTCATTAATAATCGTTAGTTTTTTCGATAGATTTCTTACAGGGTTGTGTTGAGGCTCAGGTGAATGATGCACTGTCCACCAATCATTAGTCCACTCCCATACATTGCCTACCATGTTCTTTAAACCATAACTTGAGCTGGGAAAAGAGGTAACCTGTTATAAAGAGAGAGAAATATATTTTACAGTGACATTAAAATGGAAATAATGCAAATATATAATTTAATTTTCCAGAAAAAATAATTGAGAACCATAAAGAAAAGAACTATAAGAAATGAATAAAAACTGGCATTTAGAAAGAAAAAGTTTGGTTAAATTGATAGAAAATCAGTTTAATTGAAGTAAAACATAATCCTACAATTTAAAAGTGATTAAATCTTTGGTCTTTGACAAAACAAAGCTACGCAACAACACTTAGAAGAATTTTCAAAATTTATAAATAAATAGGCTAAATAACTAAAATATACAAAAAAAAGGTGAACCATTTTAAATAGATGATTTAATTATGCTGCTAACGCAATTATAGATGTGATGAGGTTCTGATACAACTTATTACCATCGAAAATTTATTTATTCTTGTCAGAGAATGGAACTTTTAATTACTAAAAATAAAAGAGTTAAAGCAGTGTAAACATATACTACAACAAAAACATATTAGCAGCTTTATATTTAATTAAATCACCCATCAGGGCATGAGAAATTATTATTTCAAGCAATAAACCATTTGACTGTGTAATTTAGGGGTGCACAACCTGCGGCCCGCGGGCCAAATGCGGCCCTTCGACTACTGAAGTGCGGCCCGCGAGAGCTTCTAAACACAATAAAAAAATTTTAAAAAATGGCAATTTTTAAGTCATCACGTTTTGACACAATCAATTTTAACAGATTCTTTAGTAAATGTACGTTTAACGCACTTTCTTTAAGCCGATTTTATCGTAAAAATAAATGATTTTTTTAAACAGTTATTTCCGCTTTTCTACGTGATTTCGAAAATCCCGAATTTTTATTACGACGCGAGTTTCAAATCGCAAATTTAAATAATCACTTTTTGTGCACTTTATTTGTGACGATTTCATCTTAAATCTAAGTGATTTTTTATCTTTTTTTTGCAATTCTTTCT